GACGCTAAGCTAGGTATCACCCTACACACGATCATCCACGCAGCAGGTGAGAGATCTCATGACGTACAACTGAAGGTGAGGCAGATGATGCAGAGACGTGCGAGAGGCACAACTCCTGGAATGGTCAAGGGACGAGAAATGTTAGCGTTGATCGTCGATAGTTTCCGGAGTGCCGACAACGTTGATGTGATGTATGCATCCAAGCACTTATTCGATCTAAAGTTCCCTGGGGATAATCAACTATCCAGATTCCTTGGACAGTGGGATGAGATCATATCAGGTATGGATGCGGATGACATGCTTCCTGACAAAGCACTTCGCAACCTGCTTTGGGATAAGATTAAGGATTCCAAAGTTATGGCGTTAGACTTGTCTGTGTACGACAACATGTTGGATAAGGATCCGGATAAGACCTACCAGAAGTTACGAGAGATCATGACGAAGTGGATACGGAAATCAATTGAGACCACAAACAAGAAAGAAAGGGAAAAAGCTTTTGGGAACATCGTGAAAGCCACACCAGCGGCGGAGAAGAAGGACCCTAAAGCGAAACCCAAGAATACCAAGACCGATCCACCGAAACATGACACCGCTCCAGTACTTCCTCAGGCTAATCCGAAGGACCACAACAAGAAGGACAAGAAGCAGGATCGTGGAAGATCAGCCACGAAGAGCCCAAAAGGGGATCGTGGCAGGTCAGCGACTCCAGCAGATACGTCCAAGATAGGATGCGCTTTCCACTTCCATGGGAAAAACGGATGTTCTAGAGGAGACAAATGCAAGTTTAGTCACCAAGAGAAGCACAAGAGTTCTGCTAAGAAACCAGAAAACCTCAAGGGTGACAGATCAAAGAGTCCCGGTGGCAGGAGCAGTAGCCCTAAGCCAATGAAGGATCAGGTCTGTTGGAATTGGCAGAAAGGATCGTGCAAGTTCGGGGACAAATGTCAACGTCAGCATCACGCTGCTCCTGCTACAAAACAAGAGGCTAGAGGCAAAGCCAAGCCCAAACCGGCTGCGCCAGCCTTCATGCTTTGCGGAGACATCGAGAGTGATGACGAGGACGTACAACCCGCACTTCCCAACGTACAACAAGGTAAGCTGGCGCTTCGCTTTAAAGTCAGATTCGATGACCAGGCGAATGTGACCACGTTCACCTGCGATCCTGGTAACGAGTTAAACAACCGTCCCTCCAAGAAGAAGAAGAATGAGGTGCAGAAGGTGGACACCGAGCTCATTTCGTCGTTGAGAGCCCTCAGAGTGAGCAACATAGCTGCACGAGTAGCACATGCCAAAGGTAAGATGATGGAGCTATTCTATGCTGAACACATTGCCAAGGCATGGATACAAATCACTCGAGATGAAGGAATCGAGGTGAACGTCGACCTGTCTGATTTCAACACCAGAGAGGTAGTAAGGAAGGATTTTGTCGACTACACGATACCAGGAACCACGATGTTCATGGCTGTGGAGAGGTATGATGGACCACCAATACGCTTCATCATGGACACAGGATGTGGACACGATTTGATCTCAAGAGAGAAAGTCAATGCCATGTGCCTTACCACCAAGGAAGGACCCAAATCCGTGAGCTTCATGACAGCGAATGGTGTAACTAGTACATCAGAGATGGTGGACATCAATGTGGACGAACTACCCATGAGGTCCGAGGCACACGTGTTGGAAAGCACACCATCAGTCTTTTCCATTGGGAAACGGTGCATGGAACAAGGGTACTCATTCATATGGCCGGCAAATCAATTGCCATACCTCATCGACCAGAACGCGAACAAGATTCCGCTATCGGTGCATGACAACATACCCTACATCAAGGTGAATCATGATGACGGGAGATGTTTACCAAGACCAGACGGCTTGGCTACGATACTTCATCGCATACTGTCAGGTGTGGGGCATGAAGACGAGGTCACAACAGGTCAGGAGACACAACAAGAGGAACTTCCGCCCATGAAACCACGGAGACGGAGGAGAAAGAAGAAAGATAACCAGAGAGGTCAGGATGGTGAATCTGATATCAATCCAGCTGTTGCAGGCGTCGAAGGAGAACCAGAGGAAGACGGTGATGACAGGTATTCTCCTGAAGAGGAATATGACGGGGAAGACCCGAGATTCGATCGTGATCACGAAGGTCAACCTGAAGAAGCCGGAGGCGACGAACATGGAGGTGATGCGGATTCTGAACGAGGGGAGAGTGACATTGATGAAGATGAAGAGGGACTATTGGAAGTCGATGTGGTTGACGGGGAAGCCAGACTATCAAAACCAGGAGTGCTGAAGAACGAGGCGAAATCCATATTGCACTTGATGACGCACCGATACAAGAACCCATACTGCAAGTCATGTGTGAGAGCAAAGATGAAGCACTACAAGACTAGCAAGGGAGCTTTCAAACGGAAATTGAAGGCATTCGGTGACCTTATCACTTTCGATCTCATGAACACTCAGAAGATGGCGAGAGATGGGATCATGCCGGATAAGGACATATTGGTGATTCGAGATCGGTTCACTGGTGTGATATGGGGTTATCCATTGAAAGCAAGCAATAGTGACGAAGTGGTGCAGGCAATGAAGCACTATATCGGTAAGAGAAAGGTCACCAACGCTTACTCGGATGATGCGCCACAATTCGAATCAGCACTCAAGGAACTCCGGATTCCACTAGACCAGTCGCTTCCAGGACATCCCCAGAACAATTCACTCGCCGAAAGAAACAATCAGTTCATGATGCTTACCACATCGACATGCCTACTAGAAGCCGGACTACCACCATGTTTTTGGCCATTTGCAGTGGAATGCGTAAGCCATTTATTGAACATCGAGAAGCTGAGCGATGGCAGCAGTGCATGGTTGAAATTGCACAAGAGCGAATTCCCAGGCATGGTGATACCACTTGGAGCGAAGGTGTTCTTCAAACCTAGTGATGCGAGAGAAAGAGACCAAGATCACAAGTTCGACCCCAAGAGCATACCTGGCATCTTCGCAGGATACGTTATGGGGACCGGGATGAACTGGTCGCGGAAATACAAAGTATGGGCCATAAGCGATTTCGCACAACAGAATCTAGGCTATGATGCCGAGAGACCGTTGAGGAAGTTGATTACTCCTCACATCACCGAGAAGATCTTCCAAGACGACGGAATAGAATTTCCATTGAAGAAGGAATACGAAAGGTTGAACAGCACACTCGAAGGAATGAAAGTCCTGAAGGAGAGATCCGGTTCTCCAGATGCACCTACCAATCCCGAGTTACCCGATCCCGGCGATGGCGACGATCAAGACGATGACGATGATGCGCCTGATCCACCAGACGGGGATCTGAAGTCAAAAGCTACCTAGAGAATCCAAAGCTTTGCGGTGGACAGCTTTTCTACAAACGGCGAGACCAAGTGCGGTTTGTACAAATGATGCCGTTTGTTTCACCATAGCTGGTGAACTATAATGCACAGAGCTGGTGACTTATAGCTATGGTTATCGTGCGCGCTTGGTGCTTGAGCCATGCGAAAAAATGCATACAAAATCATACAAACATTGGTCTAGAAGGGAGCTGAACATAGGTGCCCAAAAAAAAAATACCCAACAAAAAACATGTTACATGTTCACACACCCACACACGTACATATAAATATATATAAAATACCGATAGATCGATCGATCGTCTTCGCCTTGACGCGTTTTCGTGTTGTTTCGAGGAGTGCTTGTCGTTTCAAAAGCCTTCGCAACTCAGATTTTTTCAACCAATCTCTGAAGATTGTCGATCTCTTTCTTTGAGAGATGGCGCCTAGTCTTGCAAGCGGCACCTTTCATGGAGCCCGGCCGTGCCAGTTTTGCCGCTCAGTGGTTCGGCCATTTGTGTCCACGTGTGTCCACCAAACTCATCTACAGTAAATTCTGTCCACTTTCTTTTGGGTTCACAGAGTTGATATAACAAGGGCGTATACACATCCTGCAGTTCAAATCTGCGCTTGAACCCATGGGTCATAGCCTTGAATGGGGCTGTTGGCCTATCACGATCGGGCGCTCCGTCAAGCGCTCAGAGATATCGCTTGCAAAACTTTGCGAAGATCTGCAGCAAAGACGTGGAACGAGTTTGTTTGTGGTGATGCTTTTATGGCAGTCCATGCTACTGTCCAAGCGTCATGAGTATCTGTGAGTCACATGTCTTGTCTAACATCCTGAAGTAGCTTTTAGACCCCTTTATTCACAACCACCCCTTCAGATCTCACGAGATCTCAGCTGGTCCGTCAGCGTCGCCATTGAACCTACGCGAGGCTGACGCTTTTGGGCATCCGCCAGCTCCAAGGGGTGTGGAGGCTCCAGGGATCTTCAGGGCTTCAGTTCGAGCTAGCAACAGTTGTCCATATCTATACGCCTCAAGTTCATACCCTGTCAAGTCAAGTTGGAATACAAAACTTGGAAAGGATTCTATGTAAGTAGTTGAGTTGGCACGCACACGTGTGGTTGACTGCTTGTTTGCTTGGAATGCGGTGGCAGTTTGGGCGCCTGCAGCCATCAATTTACAGGAACTTGTTGGTGTGCGTTGCTTGGAATCTAGCTCCAATGGCAATTGTCGCCGCTGATGCCTTGCAACCCAAAGCTCCTGCAGTTGCAGAGCCGTGGCGTTCTGTGCGCGCAGTACTCAGGTTATTACATGTTTGCATGCAGCCAGTACACATAGCAAGGAAGCCTCTTACAAATTGTATCGTTCGTCTGTGTGTGTGTATGCGTTTGTTCGCGCGCGTCTGGGGTTGAGGTGCTGGCAAAGTCACATGGCAAGAATCCCATATTGACCCTTGGATTCTGTCAGACTTTCGACTAGCCAGGACTTTATGTTTTTTGCCATTTGGTGCACGGTTCAATTTGCACAGAGTCAATCGGACAGTCATGCGGAGCGCATGCAAGAATGTCTGGGGGTGTATTAATTTTCTTAATGTATCTTAGTTCTCTTTTGAACCATTTTTGATGAGGAAGCCTTGGCCACTTCCATGCTGGAGCATCTTCCGGTCACGGTGATTAGCCTTGTCCAGTCTGACACCTACACGGGAGGGGACTTGATCTTGCTGGATAGCGCAGTTGCACGGCCCTCTGCTGAAGAGCTGGCCAACAATTATTGCTGGTTGAAGCCCATTGTCATGGACAGCCCATCTAAGGCCATGGGGTTTATTTGATTACAACAACGCGTGATTGCAATTAAACAAACCGAGAACCATACTGAACATACCCGTCAGCTTCACAGCCGCTGCAGGTGCCAAGCGGATATTATTTGACTGATGCGTTCCTTCGTTTGGATGCCAAGTTGAACCGCAAGCTCTTCAGGCCAAAGCAGGGTGAATCCAGGATGTTCCTGGCTGGGAGAGAGGGGGTCAAGGCTAAGCGCTGTGTGGGCGCCATTCGGTACTTGTGGCGTAACTCACATGGTGCCCACGATGCACGTGTGCTGGACTTGAAGCAGTGCTTGTCTCCCTCTCCACCTCGTGGTGTCGAGGCAAGGTCAAAAAATATGTTGAGGTTGGCTTGGCTCAAAGTTTGAAGGCTTCTACAGCCATCGTTTCTTTCTTGCCCACAAATCACAATCCCTGAGGCAGCTGGTGATACTGCTCCTTCGCCTGTCGCCTGCAGTCCTCATGAAGTGGGGGAAGATGTGCGAGCCCTTTTGTCGGAGGACAGCGATTCTGAATCTTCTGAAGCTGGTGAACCTGTAGGGGGTTCTGAAGGCAATCGGGAATCATCCAATGATTCTGACGGTGAGCCTTCAGTAGCAGGCACCCAGCCCGCTTCTGCAAGTGGTGAATCTGAATCGGACAAGTCAAGCGACAGCCCGCACCGAGACTCGCAGGTGGGTTCCGGGTGGCTGGGCAAGGCCTTCAACGAGGTCTGCCGTATGGACAGGGAGGAGAAAGCAGTCTTGCAGAAGCTGCGCGCAAGTTTGATGGAAGAGCTGTCTTCCCCAGATATGAACTCCAAGATGGTCAATCATCCCTCTGTGGTGAGGTTCATGTTGAAACCGGAGGTCATAGATGAATATATGGTCTATGCCGCGACAATGGTCAACGATTTTGGGGCTGTGATCTCTCCAACCTTGGCTCAAACATCTCACTACCTCAAGTGGATCTATGATCAGAAGATGAAACAACTTGAAGAACAGGATAGGGTTCTTTTTCATGGTATTTTGTATGGAGTCTTCATTGTTGCAGTCCACTATGTAGGAATGGACCAAACACAAGCTTGATCTCGCCTGAAGGACAACAAGCCGGCAGCTTCAATCCCTGCAAAGACTTACCAGGCACTTTGTTTTTTGCTTGTGACATTTTCAGGTTCATTCATGGCTGCAGCATTTCACGGTAAGAGATTGCGCATTGTGCATTTGTGTGTGGGTATGTGTGGGCGGGTGGGGTTTCTAATCGTGCCAGGAGAAGCCTTTGAAGCGGGCGTTGAGCTACATGGACTTGGATGGTTCAGCCGAGGGTGAGGGTGAGTGTGTCCAGCCGAAGTCTACTTGGTGCAAGAAGCCTCGCGCCGCCGATCAGATTGAAGCAGCTTTGAAAGATCAGCCGATGCGAGTTGTTCCGCCAACCACAGTCTTTCAGCCCAGGTATCTGGTACATTTTGCCTTGATTACTGTGCATTTGCTACCCTGCAGACACTATGTTCAACTTATTTGTACTGTTGATGTTCTCATCATTTCTGTATATTTCTGTGCTATATACGGCTATAGCCCAATCTTGCTGATCCTTCCATCATTGCGATCCGATCTTGAGGTAAAGCAGAATGCGAAAGCAGCCAAGGAGGCTGATGAGCGCGCTGACCCGGAGTTGCGGTGTGATTCATTCCATGGCCAACTGCTGGATGATTTGCCAATGGAAGCCAGACCTTTCAAAGACAAGGAATACAAGGGTCGCAAAGGCTATACGATCCATAGTGACCGTGGTGCAGTCACTTGAACCCCACAATGGAATTCCTTTTCTCTTTCTGGAACTGATTGAATCCAGGAATTGTGTAAACAATGTGTTTTGATTTCAACATATTTGAGAAGAGACATTTGCCCCTTTGACGTTCAGTTTCTCTGAGGCGATTGAGGTCTTGGTCTTTAGCCGGGCATTCGTGGTCAAGAAGTTTGGCCGTGGCGCAGTAGAAAAGACGAGTCTCAAGACAGGTCAAGTGACCTGGGCAAAGCATGGAGGGCCAGGCCCTGCTTGGGAGCTCGCAAAGCAGCGTGCAAACTTTTAAGTTCCTGTGGATGTGCCTTCTGGGTGGCCATTTGCAGAGTGTTGTGCACACCGTTCTGTATGTATAGAGTTTGCTTTGTTAAAAACCAGGTTTGTATGTAGAAATGCTCTAATCATGAATTTCTCCTGTGTCTACATTCAAACGCGCATGGGTCAACAAAATCCCAGGTATGGTGCATATCCAAATCCTTTAGTGGGTCTCAAAGAGGCTCAAACATGGGGCCAAGGGGCCAAGCGGTGGCTCTTGGATCAACTGTCTTTGGGGGTCCCGCCAATGTTGCTGAAGGGGAGCCTTTTTATAACCATGAGGCACAGCCATTGGCATCAAAGGCCGACGAGATCGACAAAGCCGGTTGCGCTCCAAATCTTACCAAACCAGGTCATGGCATGATTTAAAGGAAACACAACTAGAGAGAACCTAGCCTGTCACGTTCACAGGTCTTTTCGTTGAATTCTGAAAGCATTTGGATTGATCCAAAACAAGACACATCTATAACAGAACGTCCAAGTCCTTTCATGGTGACTTGCCTGCAAAAAAACAATGGACAGTGACACAGACATATACAGACATATTGATATGTCCTCTTGACTTTTCTTGGTATACTATAGCGATAGTGCTAGCTAGTGCTGATCAGTCGTTCAAGCCTCGAGGCATGGTTGGCTCGAGCCCTCGTGTTGAAAATAGATGCGCCAACAAAACTTGTGACATCTCATTGCCACGCACTTCAAAACGATCAAAACCAAAGGGTCTTCGATTTTCTGACCAGTTGCCACCATGGTTAAAAGAGTGCTGCAGAAGGATGCAGATCGGCGTGTGAAGCGTGTGGTGAAAGCCCGGTTGCCCTTCCACCCCAACGTCGAGAAGCCAAGGGCCTTTTCGATGCGGGACCGCCAAAAGGCCTGGATCATCAGTGGGCTCCGCCATCTCAAGGCGCCAATGGTTTCTTGGCATGCCTTGGATGGCGGAACAAAGGCTTTTCAGCAAAGAAACTGAGTGTTGGACATCTTACGTAGGCGTGTTTTTCAATGGGCGAAACAACGCCAGAAGGTGCTTAACCAGGGGTGATCGACAATTGGGATATGTCCAGCATGGTCTTGCAGTATGTTTCAGTTCGTCCGTCAATAAAAAACATAGCTGTTCGCCACCGTCACCACGAGACCTATAGCGATATGCAGAGCAGGGTATAAGATACACGGAAGACTATACCTCCTCTGCCGAGGTGATTGCCACAATAGTGGCATTGGTCTTTGGAATTCCGGGCTTGGACTTCGAGCGCCCTATCGATCACTTCGAAACCTTTTCTGGGACGATGGCAGTGACTCGTGGGGAGTGGGAGGCGAGGGTGTGTTGATTAAACCATGTTAAACCAATGCGCAAGTCTCGAACTACAATCTGTTTGTTTTTCTATACCCAGAACCAACAACCCGCAACGGTTGACCTATAACTACCATAGGAGGGTCGTGCTGCTGTGCCCTTCGACGTGGACTACTCGGCAGCTATGGACCTTCTTACTCCTGAAGGTTTCTCCAATGCCCTGTACCACATGGCAAACACGAACCCCGGTTCTGGAAGCCTCACAGCTCCAGTTTGCAGTACCTTTGTGATAGTGTTACTCGAATGGATGATTCATCTAATGCTTTCTCTTCATTGCTGTTTCGATTCAACCCACAAGAAAATTAAGTTCTTCATGCTTTTGGGACACTTGTGGTTACATATGAGCGGCCCTTCCTTGGCTCCCATGCTTCAATCAAGAGCTGCCAGCGTCTATAACCTGAGGAGCCGTGGAAGCACGCGTCGCAGCCCGAGAAATCCCCTTGGGAGGAAAGATTCGGAGGCTGTGAGAAAGGGCAACATCTTGGCCTGTCGAGCTTTCATTTTGTGCTTTATCGCTGCAGCAAAAGCAATTTGGTTTGTTCTGGAGCAGCCAGCGTCAAGTTGCATGGAACATCATCCACTGTTTCAGCACATGGCTCGACTCGTTCCTTTGTTCAAGTATTCTATGAGAATGGGGGACCATGGGGGTCCCACGCTCAAGCCAACACTCTTGTATTCGAGCTTCTTGGAAAGTTTGTAGCTTTTGATCGTTATTTGCATTGTTTCATATGCTCATATGTGCTCCCTATTATCTCGCCGGGATCTATACCATTCTGCAGAATGTAAACGAAGATGACTGTACAGGTTCTTGTGAGGTACATTCTAAAAAGCGTGCAACCATGTATATAGAAGGAAAGGGTGTGGCGAAAGCGTTCACAATATGTCGTTGAGGGTTCTCTCGGGCCAAGGCCACAGATGCATAGAGGGTTTGAATGCCTTCAAGACCACGCCACGGCTGCGCCCAAAAGAAGTCACCGTCCGCTATCTGAACAGCCAAGGGCAGCCAGCTTGGCACGGTGGCAAGGACATGAAGACTTCCCAAAACTACCCACGCCAGTCCCTTGGGTTTCTTTCATATGCCATATTTTGACATGTGTTGACACAGGTTCTCTCCAGCCAGTTTCCCTTCCTCCACAGTGTTTGATAAAACTAGAAGGGCTAAAGAAAGCTTTCTATCAAAGGTAATTTCCATGTCGGCTTTGCTGGCTGTGAAACCACAGTTCACTTCTCAAAAGGCTTCGATGTTATATCTAATGGTATTGTAGTGCATGAGTCTTCAGCTGGGGGTTTGAATTTGGCCATCCAGGTTTGGTGTTTCGCTTGCCAAGCTGCGCACTTTGCATAGCAAAGCCAACAAGCGGAAAGCCATCGCCTTTCTGCGAGCAGCAAAGAAAAGTGACAACAAACTGAACTGCAGTGCTAGGATGAACAAGGCCTGGACTGACCAGGCTGATCTGGGAAGTGTAATCCAGTTCTTGTCGCAGAGATGAGTCATAGATTCTCATCTATAGATGCATGCAAGTCCAGCTTTTGTGGGGCAAGCTCACGAGAGCCAAATTCGTTGTGGACCCATGGCTTTCGGGGCTTGGTGATACAACCGAGCTTTCCCATGACTGTCCACAATTCAAGCCTGGCCATTCTGACATGAAACCGCAAATTAGCAGAAAGTGACTTGACTTCAAATCCTCTGTGGAGCAAGAAGTTTCCCAACTGGGCCCTTATATTTCTTTCAAACCGAAGGAGCCGCGTACAATACATGTGGATGGGTCAAGCGTGCGCACGTGAATGTAGGGAAATGGGAGATGCCTATAGAATGTTTGTAAAGAGAACAAGGAGCATGATTGGAGCTCCGTCAAACAGAACGGTGCAAAGAGCTTTTGTTTCTTCATGAAAGCCCACATCCACCTTCCTTCCATGAAGGCTTGGCGACCGCGCTTTTGTTGATCCAAGCTTGACTCGCAGGAGGCCTGGAGTGCCAGTGGGTCAGCCGCAGTGGACCCATCAGTTTGCTTACTAAACTGAGTCTCCTATAGAAGATCGAGGCGAAGAGCCCAAGTCTGTTTAGTTCTCTTGTGAAAGCCACTGTCCGTCTCCCAAAGCTCGACCATGAAGGCTTGGCGACCGCGCAGTGGGTAACCCAAGCGACAAAGGAGGCCTGGCGGCCCAAGTCAGATTCAGTTGTGGGCTTGTCTCTTGGGAAGTGATAGATTTTGACCATGGACCTTCTCAGTGTGTTTGTGTGTGAGTGGGGTACCATGCCACAAATGACACGGTTCATTCATATGGGAACCATTTGCAGTTTCCTTGGCCGCTGAGGTGGGGATGCCTTCTTTCAGACTTGGGGAATACGGGACTGTAGGCTGGAAAGCTGTCCAGTCAACTTTGATTTCAGCCTGTTCAAGAACACATTTTGGAACAATAGATTTCAATAAAACACACATCAAAAACGTCGTGCGATTTGGTGAGAAATAGCTGCGATTTGGTGAGAATAGCTGCGATTTGTATATTCTAGTAAAACAACCACTGCATACATCCTTTTATGATGTACATTGTGTGCACTCATGAACCGAAAGTATAGTCTTCCTCTAAAGCTGCGATTTGTACGCATGTCGCTGAACTCGCAGCATGTCTTCCTGCAAGTGCTTTTTGTCTCAGAGTGACCTATAAAGCAGCAGCCATGCCTGAAGCACCCAGGGTTCGCATCCATGGCAAGGGTGGGCGTGGTGAGAGTGAACGGGGAAGGTCAAGGACAAAAAAGGAGAAGGATAGCAAGAGGGAGTCAAAGAAAAGCCATAAAGAGAAAAAGGAGAAAGAGGAAGGGCGCAAGAAGGTTAGCCCCAAGAATCCCAAGGAGATGTCTGGTTCCAAGAATATGAAGAATGAGAAGGACTCAGCGAGGGGCAAGGAAGAACCTACGAAAAGAAACAAGACGAGGCATGAGGCAGAAGCGAAGAAGGAAGCTGAAAAGGCAGAGACACCGCCAGCTAAGACAGAGAAGAAAAAGAAAGCAGCGCAGACGCCAGCAGAGAAGACGCCAACGGAGGAGAAGAGGGCGAAAGAAAAGACAAAGGAAAAGAAGAATGACAAGGAGCCGGAGAAGGAATGCAAGAAGCAGAAGAAGGCCAAGGACGACAAACATGATAAGACAAAAGAGCAGAAGAAAGAGAAGAAAGAGAAGAACCATAAGAAACAGAAGAAAGAGAAGAAAGAGGAGAAAGAGGAGAAGAAGGAGAAACCAGATAAAAAAAAGGAGAAGAAAGAAAAGGAAACAAATGGCGAGGAGAGGGAAGACAGTTCTGCAAGGAAAAGTGCTTTGAGGCGACCGAGGGATAAGACTTCATGTGAGAAGGATGAAACGAGCAAGAAGCCCAAGGTGACTTTCAAGGACGATAAGGCAGCGGAAGAAGTGCCCAGGACACCGACTGCCAAGCAAAAAGCAGAGCAGAAGTTGTTGGAGCTGGCGACCATCTTAGAGTCTTCACTTGACAAGGATCACGACGACGATGATGATGATGACTTGTCAGAGATTTTGGGCGCAGGAAAGGAAGAAGAGGAGGATGAAGATGCCGATGAGCGAGAAGAAGACAGTGAGGAAGAAGATGAGGATCAGCAGGAAAATGAGGAGGGGGCAGAAGACAGTGATGAACAACAAGAAGAGGATGAAGAAGAAGAATACGAAGAGGGAAAGGAGGAGGAAGAGGATGGCCAGAGTTGCGACCAGGTCGACGAAGATGAGGAGGCCATGTCCGTGGAGGAAGATGATCAGGCGTCGACAGTTGACCCAGACTGCAGCGATGAAGAGGATGATGATGATGATGGAGAGTTTAGTGAGGAGGAAGGAAGTGGAGGCGAAGGTGATAGGAGCACTGCGCCGGCAGAGGAGTCGCATGCGCTGGTTCCAGTGGTCAACGAAGGGGCTGCCACAACGCTGGCACTAAAAAACAGTAGCTTTGATGCACGCAATTGTTTTGGGTGAACACACCGAACAGCTCTTCCTACTGCAATCGCTTGTGGTTGAACTCCACTGAATCTAGCTTAGTTGCCTTCACTATGCTTCGATCACTTTTGAGTGTACTCCATTGCGTCTACATAGTTCAATTTGTAAGCATGTAAAAAGACGCCTTCCCACAATGCAACATATGTATATATATATATGTATATACATATGATGTCATGAGCTCGTTGAAACTCTTCGATCACTAAGGCACTACACACAAGGCTCAGTGGGACAAATTCTGTCGGGAGGCATTGTCACGCTCTAAGTTTCCTGCAGAGCTGAGCGAATACTACAACACCAAGAAAACCGAGCTCTTCAACATATGGATGGATAGTGGAATGAATTGGAGCTCTTGCAAACTCGCAGTAGACCGACAAGTCTCCCAGCGCAACGTGGCCTCCAAAGGATGGCATGCTGTGCAAGGCAAGACTCTTCGCCAACAGCACCATGTCCTGTCGAGTAAGAGTCATTTTCTTTTGTGAGTAAAGCATGTTGTACATTGCGCAAAGCCACTGAAAACCATACCAAATCATAATGTCTAATGACAGTGTTAGGATGACGCTCACACACCATGTCGGGGGAAGTGTTTCACAAACTTGCTGATCTGGAATTCCCAGGTATACCAGTGAAAAGTTCGAGAAGCTGATTCAAGAGAGGCAGAAGCAGGGGTTGTGGTACGAGGATGACCTCTTCCCAGGTGACCTAGATGAAGCCTGGTTCTTTGTCAGGGTTGGTGAGAAAGTCAAGCAGGACAATGAAACGCTTGAGAAGCTAACCCTCACCGCCAAAGCCGATGTCAATGATGACATGCGAGCCGCTCTCACGGATGCTGCAGATGGTGTGCTCCGGCCTGGCGCTTTGCCATCGACGTCTGCCGTTGGGAAGGATGGCAACAAAGCTCTCCTGGATGCGCTTGGAAAGGCTGTCCAAGTTCCAAGTCGTCTTGTGTGTGTGTCTCGCATTTTTTGTGTTAAATGGATTCGCACAGATTTCCCATAATATCCAACACATCTAACTTAGTTATAGCAGTTAGCCATGCACATGAACCCCCTGACGTTCTGTATGTCGCAGTGTTCACCCAATCGCACCAGTCCACGCAGGTGGCTATCGCAAAGCCTAAAAGGTCAAAAGAACGTGATGGTCTAGCAGATCCAGTGAAGCCTCAGACCACCGAAGAAAAGCTGAGCAGTTACATGCAAGACTTGCTTGCCCATGCTGCTACTGCTAGAACGCAGTCCATCAAGCTCTCCACAGTGGGGTATGCCACGGAGCTGTCAGCCCAATTGTTGGACCATGCCAAAAAGCTAGAGGTTACGTTCAAGACAGGTCAGGACGCTTTGAAGATCAAAGACGAGAAGGAAATGACCGCTCTCATCAAGAAGGTCGATAAGCTCATTGCTTTTGGTGATCAAGCGAAGGCCAGCTACCGATCAAACCGATTCCAAACCAATTCAGTTTGTTCAATCTCTTGAGCTTGAGAACCAATTTGGCCCTACCTCCCAAAATGTCTCACTTGAGACACCCACAAACAGTCTCCAAAGATCTCCAAGTGTAGTGCTTGGCCTTTATGCCAAACACCTGCCGCCGGCCGATCGTTCTCGGTCCTTCTTTTGCAAGGCTGCTGCTGCTGCTTTCCTGCGACCGTCGAGCAAGGGGCGTGCCAAAGCGAAAGCGAAAGCGAATACGAAGACGACGAAGACGGAGAAGTCGAGCAAAGCTTCTGCTGCGTAGTATTTTGATTGGCTACAGAGATTGGCCTCTGTGTCACGAAGTGTAGGGTTTGAACAAGTGACAACACTTGTTGTGCAGAAGCTTGGATGTTCCCTTAGGGGCTTCCCAAACTGTAGCCATTGGAACTCTCATCGTGTACGGTGTAATATATCCATCTAATTATATATATATCTCTCAATGGTGTTCACCTGTAACTCTCGTCATGTAAAGCCTCAATAGCCCGTGGGACTCCAGTTTCAACGCACGCAATCTAGTAGGAAGCAGGGGGGATCGAAAAACTGGCCGAAGCCTTTCAACATGTCGAAGATCTTTCATCTTTGATGTCTCCCTATTGCAACCCACGCCCATGCGCGGCCAGGCGCTGCAGCCTCGGTTTCGAGGACAGTCGGTGAAGTACATGAGGGCCTGTCACAGAAAGAGACTGCTGTCACTGGCTGTTCACTGAAATAAAGGTTCGAAGGTTCCTCCGCTGACATGATGGTGTTCATGATATGACCGCAGCCCGACCAATTGATGATGTGCTGACTAAAACTTTGAAGCATCTTGCAACACATGTGGCGCAGGAAGCGACGACGGCTTCCTCTTGAATCCTATGAGCAGTCTGCGACAGTGACAAAGCTGACAGACTTGATTGGGAGAGGGCAAGTAAGCATAGCAGCAGCTGCTGACATTGCAAGATGTGTGGTTAAAGATCCCACAGTTCCCGATCCTGCTGTTCCTAGATCTTAAACACTCCATGTTTGTTGACATGGTTTCCTTTTCCTTTCGTCTTTTTAGAGTGTTTCGGGATCCTCAAAATCAAAAGACTTTTCTAGGCCCCATATGGAAGTTCTTTAACCTTTGAGGTTAGAGCCTTCAGCTCCCTTGGCTGCGATGGCTTGCACCCGGGAAATTGCGAGAGGGATCTCCATAGATGGCTATGTGGCCTATATGACTTTGACCTAGAGACTTATGTGGTCAAGGTAGACTTGCAAGAGTTTTGATTGTGAATTGGTAAAGTTTTTATTTGTTTGCATGCATTTGGCTAGAGCTCTTCTTGGCACCCGGTGGATCTCTTGCTTTCTATGGCACGCAGCTCAAAATTGAGGATAGTGGTTGGTAAGGGCGCTTTTTGTTGTTGTGGGGTTGCAGCCAAAGGTGAATGGTGTCAAAGCGAAACCTGTCGATGTGACTCAGATTGGGATTTGTTGAAACATTTGTATTGTTTCAATGTTTGATGGCACAAATCGGAAATCGTCTTCGAAAATCATATCGGAAATCGTCTTCGACCGCCTAGCCTGTTGCCGCGATTGAGGTTCACATCCTCCTTCCCCACGAACTCCTGCACTGCCTGGCCAAAGTGCAGTGCAACTCGGTTTTCGATGCCATTATTTTGGGCCATTTGAACGCAGTGTCTCGAAGGAAGTTTTGGGAACATGTAAAAGGAGTGGATGCGTGGCGCTTGCATCCAATCTTTGATGACCACCAGCTGGACATGTCCACAGTTATCCCATTGTGTGTGCATGGCGACGGAGCTGAAATGAAACGCGATGATGAGTGCTTCGTGTGGAGTTTCTCGAGCTTTTGGGGTTCTGAGGGACAAGTGAAAGATGTTCTCATGTACAAGTATCCCTTTGCGATTATCTTGGAACGGCACATGAAGGCTCCAAATGTAGCCTGGCTATACAGGGTTCTTTCTTTCTGCTTTCCCCCTTTGGATTTGAGTTTCCCAGTCTGCAGCCTTATAAAAACAAAAGACTTGTGGCAACACACTGGGCCTGTCAGGTACGCAGCGCGGTGGAAAAGGTCATCGCTGAGGTGTTCAGTTGGAGCATGAAATGCTGTTCCAGCGGCATTGCCCCTTCGCGAGGGTTCTACAATGAGGAATTCCTGCCAAAGACCTCCAGGTTTGAAATGCGAGGGCAGCAGTTAGCTTTGGGATGGAAGCCACCCAAATGAACACGCTCGTATGACTTTTCTATGTTTGTTGAGTTTTCTATGCTCATGACTGAGGGTTGGGGAAGAGTCTTCTCTGTGTTTTTTGCCCATTGGTTCATGAGCTGAGGGCTGCCTACTTTTGTATGAAGGGCGATCTCAAAGCTAGGCACCAAATGAATGGTTTCCAGCGGTGGTATCAATGCTCAATGTCACTTGGTTCCCAATTGACTGGGTTTTGCAAACAAGGTTTATTTGTTCTTGTGGTTGATATTTTTAGCTGTGACTTAGGGGTGCAGTTGATGGTTGACGTGTCCAACATGCCACAGGCTTTGCGATAGTTGCCTCGCTTCTTGCGGTAAGCACTGCGAAGATCCAATGAACTACAGGAATTTCGGACAGGGGGCAGCCTGGCCGCTGACGTGTCTGTCTCACGAGGCTTACATGGCCTTAGAGCTAGTTCCCTCGCCGTGGACTGCCGTTCCAGGATTTCGCTTGGAAACCATTGCATGGGACTTGCTCCACAATGTCTTCCTCGGCACAGGGAGGGACCTAGTGGCTAGTGCAATTCGAGTTTTGATCAGGGAGGGCATCTATGACCATGTTGGATCTTCTGAGCTGGATGTTATCCTCAGCGCAGTTCACGAGGAAATCCGCACGACATGCAAGCAGAACGGGTTCCTTTACCAAGAGTGTTTTCCCTTGGTTTGAATCTATATATACATATGGGGTGGTGTGCATTTTGCAACTTTATAGACTAAAGATTTAAAAGAAAGAACACACCAGTGTTTTTTGCGTTGAGCCTTTGGGTTCCAATAGGTCATGAGGTTCCAAGCCATCGGACACCAAACCAGGTTCTATCTCCCACCGAAACCGGTTTTGAGCGAAGCCAACATGGGCGGTTCTGACTATGCAGAAATCGGTACACGATACAAGGCATCTCATGTCAAGTGCCTAATTTGGTGGGCTGCGCAGAAGACACGGCAGGCTGTGAGATGGGTGGCCCAAAACTTCTGACTGTTTAGTTGTGGTTGAATCTACGACCCCACGCCAAAAAAGGATTCAAATGATTTAAGTTTAATCTTGGCCCCCATGTAGGTTGCAGATGTTGCCCCTGACAACGTCCAACTTCAAGTTCTGGCTACGTGTTGCTGGGGTGTTCAAAGGTGCATCGAAATTTCCGACCACGCGGGCCTCATCCTGGATGTGATCGAAGCAAAAGAAGCTTCCGATGCCTTGCGGACGCACATTCGATGTTTCGCTTGGCTTTCGCTTCACTACCATGATCTGAAAACCAACCTCTTCAAGGTGAGGCCAAAGAGTCACTACATATGCCATATGGCAGATAGCTTAGTTTCCTCAAGGATGAACTTCAACTCGTTTCACACCTTCGACGAGGAGAGTTTTTTGGGAAAGATAAAAGCGATATGCCAAAAGACTCATGGTAGCACAATGACCCAGAGGGTCTTTCAGCGTTACAGGCTTTGCTTGGCTTTGTTCTTGCACCAAAGCAGGCAACTTGAAGCTCAGCTCGACTGAAAAAACAAGCCTCTGCTGCTCCACTGCCACATAGTCATGGCGTCGACCAGCCGATGCCAAGAAAGGATGTGAACATAAAAATTGTTGTACCCTAAAGGTCCTCAAGTTGCAATGCCACGTGTTTGGCAAAGATCGTGTATGGTATAGTCATGACTCATGACCAGCTATTACAAAAGCACTGGTGTTTCATGAAGGGTTCAAAGAAACATGTTGACCATGGTGTTACTTAAAGGCCTACATTTTCCATGTACCGTGCATCATGTACCTTCGCCCGAAAACCTTTGGTAGGTTTTCTTGCGGACTTCGCACGGCGGGTTCCAGATTCGGACGGCGGGTTCCAGAGCTGTGGTCTCAATGCTATTGGGTTTTTTCGTTTTCTATGAAGGAAACCCTTGTCGCGACTGTGCGTGGGAACATGTCTCTCACGATTTCTGTTTTAATCGTTTCATGGTTTTGAAGGAAACCGTCGAGAAGGCATGCCGTCACCCAGCATGCGTGGTCCATGCGTGCGTGTGGAAGCTGGGACCAAAAAACAGAACACCACCCGACGTCGAGGAAACCTATGTGTACATACTTTCATATCATATATATACATACATATATTTTTTTAAAAAATGGTGGGGGCGGAGGTGAGCATAGCGCTAGCGCGATTATCTGCGTGATTGCAAAGCATGCGTGTGCTCTTTGTCAGCGCATGTGTCCTGTCATACCTTTACTGCACAAGCAAGTGCAACCATCACCATCGCCATGCACACTTGCAGTCCTGCAGATGACCATGGTCACGCAGACATGGTAATATGTCCATGTATGCGACGCAAACGACAATTGTCGTGTATGCGACACAAACGACAACGTTCGTGAAAAACGGCAGCGTCGCTGCCGTTTGTGTAAAACGCTCTCCCTTGCACACCGTCGGATTCTCTAGGTAGCGAAATTGACGCGATCGAGGATAAGAAAACGGAAGAACTCACAGAGAAGAAGAAAGAGGAGTACTCCGGTCCCGATCACTACTCCGTTGGGGGGCCAGGTGATAACATAATTTACTTGAACAACGACGGCGAACACGTCAAGATCGCAACGGACGGTCGTCTATATAGAGTGGGATCGGATGGAAGGCGACTCTTCCACAACTCACCAAGACCCAAGGACTACCTTACACCTGAAGAATGGCAGAAGCTATCGGTGAAAGACCGAGCTATAGCCAAGAAGGCCGGGAAACATGTAGACAAGGTCGTGGATAGATTGTCGAAGAAAGCGAAAGGACTTGGGAGCAGTACGGATAAGAAGGAGGACGAGGAGCCTCATGAACTCTTGAAGGACCTGGAAGACGCCAAGAAGGGTGACGAAGGAGATAATGAAAAGAAGTCCAAGAAAGACAAGAAGGATAAGAAAACCAAGAAGGATAAGAAATCCAAGAAAGAAAAGAAGTCTAAGGGTAAGGATGAGAAGGATGGAGGTGGACCAAGCTTGGCTATGCCTACTACCTTTATGTGGTGGGACACTGATGATGATGATGACCCATGGTCACCTAAATCCTTTACATCCGAGTCCACGTGTGTCCCCAGTGATGAAGAATTCCTCACCGATTGGGACGAGAGTGCCATGTGGGAGGACAACGATGACAATCTTGCTATGGCGGCTTGGAAGACGGAGAACGTCTACAATCCACTGAACGGGCAGATATGTTGTTGCATCACTGGTGATCCCATTGACAACGATGTGGTTGATGAACCATTTCCGACGATGCCATGTGTAGTGCGTGATACGCAACATCGCCCAAAACTTATGGGCAATAGGTTGTTCAACGCTGTGGTATCAAGACCTGTGAGCCGTGCTGAGATCTTATCCAATAAGAAGGCAATGCAATCTATGTTGGATGAGTGGGGCGGACTCTGGGATGAGGAAACATTCGACGGGTCGTGGCTGAGAGAATATGATGAGATAGTGGCAACCTCCAAGAAGAAAGGGGAAGAAGTTCACTTAGCAAGAGTACATGGAATATGTGTGGAAAAGAACTACCAACTGCCTGACGATGACCCGAAGAGGAAGTTCAAAGGGCGAGGGGTTCTACTCGGAGATCAGGTGAAGAACCAGAACTTCGAGGCAGCATTGTTCCAAGACCTTGGAAACTCTCCAGCTACATTCGAAGCTGCTCGATGGGCCGATTTCTACGGTTGCCTGGAAGGTAATGATGTGCAGGTGGCAGACGCCATTAGAGCATATATCCAAGCATTATTGGGCGGTGTACCGTGTTGGGCTGAACTCCCGTGGGAAGCGTGGCCCAAGCACTTGCAAGAGGAGATCACCAGAAGGGGTCTCAAACGTCCTATGTGTCGTGTGAACAAAGCATTATACGGACATCCAGACTCTGGAACGATGTGGGAGCAACATTGCGACGAATCTGTACGTGCATTGGAGTTCAAACCCGTCGGACCAGAATGGCCGTCGATGTATTACCACGAAAAGCTAGACTTGTTGTTAGTGATATATGTGGACGACTTGAAGTTGGCAGGGCCCAAGGAGAACTTGAAGAAAGGTTGGGACCTACTCCGATCCAAGCTACGCATTGAACCGGAAACCGAGGTCGGATTGTATTTAGGATGTGTTTTGTCGAAAGGCGAAGATAAATTGGCCGATGGTTCCAAAGTCACTACAATGACATATGATATGAGCGCTCTGCTCAAAATGAGCGTGGTCAAGTACCTCGATATAGTAGGTAAGGACACAGTATTGAAGAAAGTTGCAACACCAATGTTACCGGATGTCACAAAGGATCATCCATCGAGAGCACCATGCAGTACCCAAAAGGGACTTGCTGTCACATGCACATGGTGTGGTACTTGTTTCTCGCCTGACCAGGCAGCTTCCAAGGCCAGGTCAACAGACGATGACGTCAAGTCTGATGCGAAGGAACAACCTCGTGGTACCCTAGCGCCTCATGCTGCTAGTCTCCTAATGAAACTGTTGTACGCTGCTAGAATAGCGCGTTTCGACCTGTTAAGGGCCATCAATGTGCTGGCTCGTAATGTGACAAAATGGACAGTTGCCGACGATGCTAAATTGCACCACCTGATGTGTTACGTGCATCATTCAGCCGATCAGAAAATGGTAGGTTGGGTCGGTGATTCCAAAGCAGACCTGTCGTTAGCCCTATTCGCAGATGCGGACTACGCAGGATGTGGTCAATCGTTGAAGTCGACTTCCGGTGCACACATGCATGTCCAAGGCAAACGAACTCGTTTCCCGTTGGCAGGAGGTAGCAAACGTCAAGGGTGCGTTAGCCACTCCACCCCGGAGGCTGAGATTGTAGCGGCGGATTACGCATTGAGGACACTTGGAATCCCAAGCATCAGTGCATGGGAGACTTTGATGAGGACGCCACCAAGAATAGTCTTTTATGACGATAATCAAGCGATGATCAATGTTATGAGGAGTGGGAGGAACCCCACGATGCGTCACATGGAGCGCACTCATGGTATTTCCATCACTTGGTTGTATGAGATGTTCAAGCGTGACTATCTGTTGCTCGTATATGAGGTTACTGCTCGTATGGCTGCCGATATCCACACTAAAGGGTTCGATGATGCCAACTCATGGAAACATGCGTGCATGCTGATCAATATACTGAGCGACGATGGTCTGCGCAGCCAAGCATTGCTCGACTTGATGAAGCCAACTCATGATGGGTTGTCTTACGCCAAGCAGCTCCAGAAAGACCGTCACAGTAAGGTGCCAACATATAAGGCTGTTGCCTGGCAACCGGGCGTCCCTTTTGCATCCAGGATTCTCTTTCTGGAGGGCTCCACTACCAGTTCTTTCATTTATTAAACAACTTATGCTCTGCTACCGCTACCATTGCTTTGGCCAACAACTTTTGCTTGGCCACCACTGCTTTTGTCAAAGCATCATCACTGAATGCGGAGGACTTAGACAGGCTACTGCTGTTGGCTAAAAACCCAACTGCCAGTGAATGGCGGTTGGGAGTGTGCCTGATGCGACCGTGGACAAAAAGTCGTAATAAGAGAAAAATGACTGTACTATGTTTAAACATGTCCAAGTGCAAGTGCAAGACCCTCAATGAAGGTTGTAGCAAAGCAAATCTTGCGTTCAGAAAAATGTGTGTTTTCCATTGATCAAACACCAACGTGATGGGCTGGGTCTGGGTCCTCTGGCAACCTCTACCTCTACTATAACTGAAGCTTTTGAAGTTAATACTTTACCTCTACTACACCTCTACCTCTACTATACCTTTACCTCTGCTATACGGTGCGATGTTCATTTTGAAGTTTTTTTGAACTGCAGGTGTGCTTACTACCTGCAACGTTTGCTTGTGTGTAGAGGGGCGGTTGCGAAGCATTTCCGTTCGCTGCCATGCCGTTGAACAACGTGCAAGAGTTGAGCGAGTGCTTGCCTGAGACTTTGGGCTTTCATTTCCGTTGCCATTTCCGTTGTTTCCGTTTTGCCTGCTCAGTGACGAGCAGCCCGGACGACGTGGTGAAGTCTCAATGCGTCCTGACCCAGTTTGGTTCAGCAAGGCTCGGCTTAAGCTTGGAATGGCCTTTAGTAAACGTTGGGCCGAATTGTCAGGCCACGTTAGACGCGCAAAAGATCGACAAGTTTCCAAAGGTCGGCAAGGCTTTCTTGGCCGCCTCTGGTCGGGTGGCAGTTCAGAAGTTCAGCCGCGTGTGCAAACCTCTGGGGCCGCCGCTGAGGATGAAGCTGGTTTTGGGGTGCAATTAGTAAAACGAATTGTCGGTGTCATGTGCCAAGTTGCACGTTCATTCAAATATATTTTAAGCGACCCAGGCAAGTTTGTGTCATCAGGTTCCTCCTCGGCCGAGCAAGAAAACCAGGGCTGCCAAGACCCGCCTGGTTTCCAAACCTGTCTTCATGAAGTCCTATGGCACAGTCCGCTCTGTCCTCAATTTGATGCAGTTTGTGAGTGGATGCAATAAGCGGGTTCGTTTCCTTAAGGTTGCTTTGGATCAACGACGCGGGCAAACCCGAACTACTTATCGGTACGCGGGCGACAGGACCAGTGAACCTCTCATCGTTTTCATCGCCCGCGCATGATCTTTTTCTGAACCGGTTTCAAGCGTCGATGTGCAGGATTTTGGAAATCAGATCCTGTGGTGGGACAGGTACCGGCGAGAGTGCCGGAACCATGCCATCACGCCTGGTTCAAACCTGCATGTCCCACCAGAGCTGGCGGAATTTGTTGCAGGAGTTGCCTATAGTGACGGAGGTCTATATTTTGTCAGTGAGTGAGTTTGCCAACTAAACTGGCAATCATCTTTGCTTCAGGATTGCCCCGGGGCTGGACAAATCCTGACTTTGGCGCTGTGAAGCCTGCGCACTTCAAGGAGCTTTTCCCCGACCTTGCCAAGGCCAGGCTTTGGCGCAGTAGCTCGATGCAAGTTTCTATTTGAAATTGACTCTTGAGTTTGTTCACGTGTTCAAGATTTTTGGCAGGAGCCTGCTTTGAAGGTCATATCCTTGTTTTCGGGAGTGGGCGGCCTCGAACTGGGGCTCAGGGAGTCAGGGTCCTCAGAATGGAGTGCAACAGAGTTGAGCGCAGATTGCTGTAGGGGGAAAGGAATATGTTTTACCAGCTGGTCATCCAGGTTTTGCCGCCCAGTGTGTTTCGTCCTGTTCCCAGATTTTGCAATCAATGAAGTTGTTGGTGAAATTTTTTTTGGCGCTAGTCAAGTCAGCTCAGATTCATTGATTGAGTCAGATCCCAAGGTCGAATTTGACGAATTCGCACGTTGCATCCTCGAAGTCCGCCAGCGCGAGGGTTTTTTGCACCGCTGTCCTGTCTACAACGACGTCACGACGTTCAGCTTGCGACAGTGCCGTTCTTCAGAGATTGCGGAAGCTCAGGGCATCACATTAGGTTTTCCCTGCCAGGTCAGCCCAACTTCATTGTGTGCACTTTCTGTTTAGAATTCATTGTTCCACCGCGCGCACCCTGACAGGGAGTTTGCAAGGCAGGTCACGAACAAGGTCTCGATGACCCTCGCAGCGGTTTGGTCAGAGAGCTCTTTCGCATCATGGATGAGAGTGTGGAATTTGGTGACCACCTGCCCATGCCTCAGCTTTTAAACCAAGTGTTCAGGCAGGCAGTGACAAAGTTTTTGACAGCGTGTGACATTCCACAGATTGAGGCGGTTTATATTGATGGAGAATGTCGCCAACTTGGTATGCAAGTCGATGCAGAGCATGATGGAGTGGCTTGTTAAGGAGCTTTGTTTTGGAGTCGTCGACTGTCATTATCCTGCGCGGTGCGCGGCATCAGTTGCAGGAGTTTATTGTGAGGGGATGGACGTTGCAGTGGCTGACTGTAACTGGACATGAGGTTGGGACCCATGTTCCGGCCTTGGCCAGAGTTTCATATCACTAGGAGTCTTGCATTTCCCCATTTGTTTTTCAGGTCAACCGTGAGCGTGTGTTCTTGGTGGCAAAGAAGGCCAACAGTGGCTTCAGCTTCAAGGCCAGCAGCTTACCACCTCGTTCCATTGTCCCACACATTGAAATTACTGATTACCCCTGGGCTGAGACTGATTCTGTAAGCAGCGCTTGGTAAGGATGTTGCTATTATGTCGCCAACGGAGATGATGCGCAAAGCACTTCAGCCTTGGAACACGCGAGGCTGCCCGCCCCTGTGCAGGTGGCTTTGTCAGAGCCCAGGTAAGTTCCACAACGAACGGTTGAAGTGTCTTGGAAATATCGTTTTCCCTCGGTGTGCTCAGCTAGCTATGCATCAGCATGAGCACGAGTTACGCTCTGGCTGATGTCAGAGATGCCGATGACAAGGGAAACACTTTTCTGTTGTGGCCGTCAGCGTATGTTGAAATAGAGCCGTTCTTGTTTATGATTATGATGGAACTGAACCATTTCATTTGATGTTTGTTGTTTTGATGTTTGATGCGGAATGTCCTTGTCGCACAAATTAGTCGCAGCCGAAGCTAAGTTGCTCAGGCCCCTGTCACTGCGCAGGTCCTTAATTGGCTGATGCTTTTGCCAAGGCCTGTCTTAACAGGTCTGTTGAGGGACGTGCTTCAAAAACGGGAGAACACCCAGGCCAGCTCGACTTTGATGCATCCATTTGCTGTGTTGCTACGTTCATTGAGTCTAGTCCTAGTAAAAATAGATACTTTATGTTAATCTTTTTTTTGCAATCTGCTTTCAAGCCCTTTTTCTTTCGGTTGCCAATTCAGCGACTTCACCATGGCTCGTGCCCATGCCAACGCAGTGGCAGTGGGGATTGAGGCTTGCAGCCACTTTGGTGTGAACGTAAATTTCAGTTCTTGAAGTTTGACCAAGAATCCAATTTCAATGTGTTTCTGAAACCATCTTTCGGAGGCACGCCGAGAAGAAGATGTTGTGACTTTGGTTCTGGGCGATGGCTTGGAATCCACAAACTGTGACATGACAGACAACGACTCACGGTTCTGGACCCCATGGAACACTCCTTTGTCTACTGGTTCCTTCGAGCAACTGGCGTTTGACGACTTGGAACCTAAGGACTCTGCACCTTGAGGCGTTAAGAAAATCATAGAAAGTTTCCCTATGATTGCTTCCTGAAGGAGATGCCGAGCACCAACCAGAAAGCCGCTGCCACGTTCCTAGCGGATGTTTCTAGTGGACGGAAGGTGCCCATTCACAATAATGATGTTCTCAGGAAACTCCGCCTCTTACTGAAGAGAACCTTGCCAAGCTGCAGGCCTACTCATTGCGCCAGTTCATGTCAGTCCAGGTCAGACATTGTCAGACAGTGGGCCTTTTAGTTTCAACAACTGAACTTTGCATCAATTTGCGTGAAAAGTTGGGGAGGCTCTTTCTCATGCAGCCGACCAGCCAGCACCAAAGCGTCCTACTGGTTCAATTGAGGACACCTTTAACTTTTTCCAAATGAATGTCAGGTTACCAACGTACTCCAAGTCTTTCTGATAATTGTTTTTTAAAATTCCTTGATGCAGGAATCACTCCCACCTGCTGGAGGAGCCAGTCTTCAGAAGCCATGTGTTACGAACGGCAGTCAGCTCAATGTCAAGAGTGGCCCGGAGTTTAGCCAGACGCAGACTGGTGCTCCAGGCGCTCTTTAAAGCGCCAAGGTTTTTGAACAGTTTTTTTGCACCTTTTGAACATTCCACAGCACTTGACAGTGATATCGTTATACTTCTAGCAAACTTGCAGGTGGGGCTGTGAGCGCAAGAAGCCGAAGCCGCAGTCCGACAGCGTTGGGTCGCTGGGTCCGGGTTTTGAACGATCAGTCTCCGCTGGAACCTGTTGCTGCTTCAGACTCTTTGCAGCAGGACACTAGCGATTCACAGATCTAGTCTAGGTTAAACGCCTCAATCACAGGCATTCGCAAACATTATTAGGATTGACCGTTGGAGGCAAAGAGTGACTTGCGTTTCATTTTGCAGCGTTCAGTGTGTCGGGGTGATGGGTGGCGGTGTTAACTGTTAGACCAGTCTGAAACGACCAGTCACGCGTCTACGTGCCATGATTGTTCAAGTTTGTTTGTTCAGTTTTTGGGAAGACTCTCATTGATGGCCCTGGAAGCTATGTGTGGGTTGAAATTTCTTGGTTGTTTCAACGAACTAAATTGCTGAACATGAAGCTCTTCACGATATAGTAAACGTATTGTGGCAAGCGGCGGGAAAAGTTTAGGTTAAACCACATACTCTCAGCAAGTCAGGCCTGGTGAGTTTTACGACTGTAAGCATTGCAATTTAACAAGCATTGTCGCGCGTTGGCCCGATGGTGTCCCATGTTCTAGCTTTGTCTGATGACGAGCTCGGTGATCCACCTTGTCCTGGGCTGGTGCCTGTGAAACCAGGTGCAGCGCTTGCTGTTGCGCCTGTTGTTGACCGAAAGCGGAAACGCAATGATGTAGATGTGGCGCTGCTTGAAAGCCAGGTCAGGCAAAGGCTCCGGCACATTGTGGACAGTAGCTGCATTTGCTCCAGGAAATCAAAGACTAAACCTGGCGCTCGGAATTGCTTCGTGCCTTTCCGTGAGAAGTCTTTGTTTCAGGCGGTGCTTGCTTGTCGATTGGAATTGCGAAAGATGAACAAGGAGGATTCCGACAGAAAGGTACTTTGGTGCAATTTTGTTTACAAACTAAGGGTTTGAAGTTGCAAATTTCCTGTTTCTCTGGGGTTCCAAGCAGACCCCGCCAAGTCTCGAAAAAGGAGGCATAACCCTGAGTTTTTACACCCTTTTTCAAGACTTGGTGGGGTCCGCTTGGAACGCCAGAGAAACAGGAAATTTTGCAGTTTGGAGGGGGCAAAAGGGGACTTGGGGGTTAACTTTTCACACCCCAGCAAGACATTATGCCCGAGAGTAGCAATTTTCACCCCCTTCCAGATACGCTTGGCATGCTTTCTTCGCCTGGAACAAGTGGCTTTGGCCACTTGCAAAACTACCAGAGCGGCTTTAGTGAAATTGAATTGCCTTGTGGAAGAGTTTCCTGCAACCGGTTCCGCTCTAAGGTTGTTTTTCTCACACCTCCCAGCCAGATCAAACATTGGACGACAGTCGCCTCAAGCGTTTTCGATTCTCAAAGTGAGGCATTTCACATCTTGGGGCAACGTGACCCGCTGACAGACCCAGCAGCTGATGAGCAGAAACCACCCAAAGGGCTTCGTTTCTTCCGCCAACAGGTGTGCTTTGGTGGCCTGGCCAAGCTTCTTGGCCTTGGCTCTGGCAGAGCCCGTCGATTGCGGAGCGCAGCTCTCAAACGTGAGGATTGTCCGCTAGATGGGCGGTTAGCAAAGACTCGCCCACATGGAAAGATTGGTTTGGCAAGTTACAAGAGAGGCCTGATATTTGATTTTTTGACCAAGATCTACCTCAAACATTCAGAGCCGGCTCCGGAATGCAACTCTGCCAGTAAGCAGCCTGAAGAGAAGGTCCTGCAGTTTCGCCGTGCTTGTCGGAGAGGGAAACGACCACGCAGGGAGCAGAAGAAGGACCGTTCTGAATGGAACCCCGATGCTGCTGAGCTTCGGATGTTGCCACCTGGCACCTACAAAGACTACTTGCGTTTGTTCCACTCCGACCACCCAGACACGTCAGTGTCATTCAAGCTGTTTACACGAGTGCCTTGTGGGAAATTGACACGCTTTTTGTGGCAAGTTGATTCATGTGGGTTGATCCCAGCTGGCAGCTGGATGTGATGTGTTTCAAAACTTGTATGGTTCAAAACAAACTAAAAATGACGTGTGACAATAATTAATAGCGAAGGTGTGGGAGGAATCCTTTAGCCACCTGCGCATCAGACAAGCTGGAAGCCAAGCCACCTGCACGACGTGCCTGAAACACAAGGCCATAATGAAGCGGCTCAGCTCCAACCAAGCAGCGTTGATGGGGCAAGCGCAGCTCTGGGGAGCTCATATGAAGAAGCAATTCAGCGACCGGGAGGTCTACTGGAACCACCGTGCCATCTCCCGCCTTGGATGTGATGCGGCCGGCTTGCCAAGCCTGACCCTGATTGTGGACAGTATGGACCATGCTAAGTGGTCTGTGCCTCGAACTGCAGTGATGGCTGCTAAGCAGTTCAACAGCGTGGTGAGACCCCACCTTGAGTGTTGCACTGTAATTTGCCACGGGCACCTCCTGTGCATTGCGTTCGCAGAGCACCACATCATCAAAGGGGCTGACTTCACGTGCGAGCTTCTGTGCTTTGTATTTCACATGTTGACGCAGGCCGGCTTGGATTTAAGGACCTATGAGGTCTGCGTCCAAAGCGACAATTGCTCAAAGGAGACAAAAAACAACAGCGTATGCCGGCTTTTGAGCTACCTCACCAGCAGGAGGGCAATCAGATGTGCCCGCATGCATCACTGCATGACAGGGCACAGTCACGAGGACATCGACGCCTTTTTCAGCCTTCTAGCGTCGTTTCTTGCTACGAAGCATGAGCTTCATTGCCCTCAGCAGTTCATGGCAGCGTTGGACGAGTACTTGAGCAACGATTCAGTTCGACCACTTGAAAAGCAGCGATCAGTGTTGAAAGTGGAGGCTGTCCGGGACTGGATTCTGTGATATCATAGTTTAAAAAGTTTTGGAATGTGTTTGTGCTATAGATCGGTGTCCATTTAGACATGTTGGCCCCAGATCGGGGTCCATTTAGACCCTCTGGCTGAACACCGTTTTGGGCGCGCTCCCCTGGCCAAGCAAAGTAATAAGTAGACAGGTTTGAAGCTGTCGTGGGGCTACTTGTTTTCAAGGTGTGCTTGTTGGCCATGCAAAGTCTGACAAATGTTGCACTTTCACTTGATGCGCAGTGGCGCAGTGCTGCCTAAATAGGTGTGCTTAAAATTGTTCCGCCGCATGTTCAGGGGCGGGCCAAGTCAAGCAAAGTGGACGGGTGGCAACATAGTTTTTTGAGAAGTTCTCGAAGGATCATGCAATCAAATAAGACTTTCGCACGCAAGCCAGCAAACTGTTGCAGTTGCCACGACGCCCCCTTGTTTCTTTTGCCCCTGTGACCTCCTCTGACTACGCGCAGTCAAGTTCAGGAAGAACTGGCTGATGGTGGGCTGCCGGAGGAATTTTCTCAAGGGCCTTGGCGGCCCCGGAGCACCGCATGCCTTTTTCTTCGACAGAAGAGAAGATTTGGCAGGCTGGGTTGTTGGTATCTCCAATGTCACTCCAGGTCCATGGTTCAAGTGGCGCCAATTCCTTAAGGTTTGGCGTCACTGTGTTCGACTTGACCTTGTCTCACCCACCCCCCGCACCTTTTCCACGATGGGGTAAAGATGGGCCGTAGAATTTAACGAAGAAAGGACAAACAGACGCTGACACACACAAAATTTAAATGCAGAGTGTGGCAGAAACGTTGGAATCCCGAAGACCTTCTTAGTTGTAGTTTGAATTCGTGCTCCTGACTAGGTGTTGTGAGCGATGCCTCCATTGACATCAAGTTCTGGGCACGCCGCGGCTATGCCACGAACCGGCCTGATGATGTGGTCTTGAGGAGTGGTGCCAATTTTAAACTAAGCTTCGGTCATGTGCGAAGCGTGTTTGATTCGGTCAAAGGTGAGCAACAGTGCGGTTGTTATACCCCGTGAACATGGAGAAGACATTGCAAAGTTTACGCTAGGGAGGGGCTTCTACCTTATCGTGCATCCATTGTCATTAGCTTATACTGCTGTACGAAACCTCAAGGGGCAAGGCTTGGGAAACTATCGCTGAGACTGGAGATGTAGATGTAGCAGGAACATGAATTTTTTCTTTGAAGGACCAAGCAGTATATGAGTGACCTTGCTTTCCGGCGGCCAACTCTGCTCTACCTGCCTGGTTTGGTTGCTGCTGAAATGAGAGGGCCTCCAGAAGGCTTGGCGCCCATAGCTGTGCCGTTGCCACAAGGTTGTGTGCCGTTACTGTTCTTTTTTTTGTTCGAAACCCGGTTGACCCGTTTCATACCCTGAGTTACGGCGGAGCAACGGGAACTGGAACCGAAGACGGCTGAGTCATACCTCAAGTTTGCTTCTGATTTACGTGTCTTGTCTGTCGTAGCAAATCAATGCAGCGCATATTTCAGATTCTAAGAACTACTGTCTTGAATCCTGAATCCCTGACGTGCCTTCTCAGGAAGCGATCCATTTTACATGGACGCTGCTGCCGACTATCTGGAGCAACTTGCGCACGGACGTCAACCCCGCGATGCAGTGTTGCCGGTTGGATCGTTTCTTGTTGTTTAACGACCCCTACAGTTTCACTTAATACCCATTTGGACTGTTCACTTCTCCATCGAACTTTCATGCCATGCGTGTCACGCGAGCCGAGTTTTTTCCCATCAGCTGGGCCCCGCGTTGGACAAGCAGGGCATATGGAGGGAAATCTGCTGCAATGTCAGAATCTGGATCCAGCCACTGCCCTAGTCATAGTTATCGCGATCAACAAATGGCAACAAAACTGAAACATACTACTTTCAAGCTAGGTCATAGTATTTTTTCAAGTGGAAGGGGGAGCTCAGCTTCTTTGGGCCGCGCCCTTCACAGGTCCCGAATGCTTTGGGAATGCAAGCGGACCAAATCAAAGGAGAGGCCTTGGACAAGTACAGGTCGGCCAGGAAGACCTTTCATTTGCATAGGGCTGCAGCTCGTTTGTGGGCCAAAGGCATTTCCATGAACGATGCGATGGAGATCGTGGGCGAAGCTTTTGACGAAGTCATCAAAGCTGAATAACTTAGTCGCTGGAGCAAAGGCTGTGAAGTTTTCAATCATAATGCCTAATTGTTGTGTTCATTTGTATTCCACTGCGCCAGTGGCGGCTACCGCCAGGGAGTTTGAGAAATGCTCATGGTGCACAATGAGCATTCTTTTTTGAGGGCTCATATTTCAGCATCAAGCCAGCTGCCGCAAGTCACAAACTGCAGCGCCAAACCAATCACTGGCCAATGATCGCTTCCATTTTTTTGTTGACAATAGAATGTTGCTGATTGGCAATGTATTTCTGCATCGAGGCAGGTGGTCTGATGCACAGTACAGGGCGTCCCACAACCCAAGCGGGTTGTGCAAGAACATGACTTCACAAAATCTCAAATATTGGCCGCTTCTTTTTTTCTTTCTGGAACATTCTGCGCAAATCTTTTCTGACATTGCTTTCCTGCAACCCTAAACCCTAAACGGTATGGCATTCATATTGCGGCATGGAC